TGCTATTCGAAACATAAGACAGCAGTTTTCTGACCTACAATCGATTATTACGTAAAAACGGTACAGTAAATATTATTCTTTCTTTTATGCTGCGTTTGCTGATAACATTTATAACAATAAGTTTCTAATTTGGATGGTATATCACTTTTCACGAAATTACACGGGAATAATCGTTACGTATATTGTTTCTATTATGTGCAAAATTGCGATATTCAATTAAAATAATTAAATCGCGATATTAAATTTTCGCGTACAAATCGCATAAACTTTAACTACGAATGTGTTTTGCAATAAATGAACAAAGTCCTTAACGCGCGACGATCGGCGAATACAACACCGCGTAACACGTCAGTGTCGCGCCGTAAATCATCTGATATAATTATTATAATCGCGGATTAACGGTCTTCATTAAATCAAGAAGCAATAAGTAATACAATAATCTACACTTTATGCGTTATTAATCCGACGATACATAAAGCATGAGCATATTAATGTCTTCAACATACTACGCTAATGCTACAATAGTGTAATGTAAATCACTATGAATGTAAAACATGCCCCTTTTTATATTCAAATGCAACCGGGTCAATTCACCGATATTCTCTGCAAATCATATTACGTATCAGATAACGGCCACGTTTCAAAATTATTTACGAAAGACCTGCATCTCTTATCTGTCTGAGACCTATCTGTGCATGTTGTTGGTTATGCTTCACGATTGATAAGTCGAGTGATAAGTCGGAAAGACAGAATTTCTGTTACGAGCCTCCAAATGAAGAAATGTCTCATAAATATGAAACTAGAGACCTGAGAATTCCTGTTTATGGAAATGTGTTTGCTTGGCTCGATGACTTTAATATAAAATGTGATCTCCACGGTCTTTTGATAGTGGCAGATATGTGGACATGTGTGCTTTTTGCGCGTTTGAAAAAAATAATAAAGTAATTCGATAGCGAAGTTTATTGCGCGCCACGTGTGCGCGTCTCTCTCTCTCTCTCTCTCTCTCTCTCTCTCTCTCTCTCTCTGTCTGTCTGTCTGTCGGTCCCTTTTCCCTCTTTATTTCTTTCTTCGCCACCTACCTTGCGGAAAAAGGAGACGTATGTAACCTGTTATCGTGCGTGCTGAAGGTAACAAAGAGCCGACGTGTATTACCCTGTCAATCGTTCGCGCTGGCGCATTTACGCACGGCACGTTGAAGGGAATTAAAACAGTCGCGGAAAGGATAATAGTCAGCCAAATGACATACGCAATTTATTTACGAAACTTGTATTTACAAACTACAATAATTTCTGTCAACGTTGTGTATTTGTAGTACTTCCGTCGTTTAAGAAAAAAGTACCGCGAGAGATTACTACACATGAGATTTTTCGTTACTTCAGTGCTCACGATTAGATAAGAAAAAACATGTCTATTAATGAAGAGCCACGTCTGCATTAAGTAAAAGGAAACAGGAAGTCAATTAGACAACAATCAAACAACAAGTCAATCAGAAGACAATCAGAGCTCGTAGTGATAGAAAAACAGTCAACTATCATCTGATCACCAGTGTAAGTTTTGATTAACTTCTGCTTTTCTGCCAAGATGTGAATTCGTCCTAACGCATTCGTTTCGATCTCGCGCGCTCGCGCGACGTTCTAATTATAACGGTCTCGCTGTTTTGACGTGCGTCTCGATAGTGCGCCTCGGCAAATATGAACTTTGGCCCATAGCCATTTTCGTCCGCATAATCTACTTAGTTCATTGATAGCAGATGATCGCGCCGGACATTATCGCCCAGCTGCGTACATGACCGTGAATTATGTGAGCCAAAAGTGAATGATAATTCGGCGGCGAGTCGATAACAAATGATGATAACTCATGACTCCCGGCGGTAAAGCCTGATCTGTAATATGCTCTTTGCTTCCTGCTTCTTTCTTTTTATTTCTTTCTGACTATACCCAAAGCCTGATCTACAATGTGTTCTTTGCTTCCCGTTTCTTGTTTTCTGTCTTTTTTTAGTTTAAGGTTTAAGGCTTGAGTCAGAAAGAAATAAAGAAAAAGTAACAGGAAGCAAATAACACATTATAGATCAAGCTTTAAGCTTGACTCAAGCCTTAAACCTTAAACTAAAAAAAGACAGAAAACAAGAAACAGGAAGCAAAGAGCATCGCAGATTAGACTTTAAATCAGAAAAAGGCAGAAAGACAAGAAACAGAACGCAAAGAGCATATTATAGATCAGGCTTAAATCTTGCCTCGTCCTGTCTCTCTCGTAGAGGCAGATCGTTCAGAGCGTGCAGTGACACCGAGCGGCGCGTAATTCCTCGTGGGTTGCGGCCGCCAGGAAGTTCGAGCCGCGGGTTGACTCAGAATCGTCGCGAAACGCGCGTTGACGCGCGATGCAGAGCGGAAAAACCGAGGACAGTTGCCCGGGGAAGCGGTTGGCCGCGTTACGAAAGCACGCTGACGTTGTCTCGTCTGGTGTGACAATGAGGAAGTGTTAGTTTGCGTTTCTGTCCAGACGCTGATGAGACAACTGATCGATTAGTCAATTAATCAATCAGACAAATCATCAGTCGATATGAATAGATACAGCAAATGAATTTTTCTACAAGATGACTCCCATCTCCCTTCTAAATTGTTATCTAATTGCGCTATTTTACAGCCTGCGAACTGCAAAGCTCGAGCGGAACCCCCGACACATTTTATTATTCGACGAATACGTGAAAAGACAACGTGAGAAACTGGCTTATCAGGGTCGAACGTAAGACGTCACTTGCTAATTTTGTCAAGTGTTCGACAATATAAGTGCAACGCCAAGAATGTCTTGGTCCGATACTCTAAATCAGTATATTATTCACTGAAATACCACGCTTGTAACTAATGATTCAGCACTGCAATCAGTGAAATTTCGCTAAAAGGATCAGTTAATAATAGCATCTATCATCATTATTGATGCAGTTTACGAACACAGACAGTGTTACTGTATGCAAATTGCACGGAAGCTGATGATTCATTACAAACGCAGAAAGTTGGATCTCGTATAGCGCATCACGAATTGTGTGTATTGATGTGCCGATATTTCAGTGAAATACTTCTCCATTGATTGACATCAGTAAGATATACGATGAAGCAGCAAAGCGGGAGTGTTTCCACTGAAAGTCAGCGAATACTCACTGATCGGTGAAAATGTTCCGTTTATTGACTCAATCCGGAATACTTTTATCGATACATACTTTAAGAGAGAATGTGTGTATATTATTACATATACACCTCCAATAATTTTATCCGTCGATTTTAGCAAGCAACATCTTGCGCTCGACTCTGACATGCAAGATACTCGCATTATTCGGTCGAATGTTATTCACATTACCGCGTTGAAACACAGCGAGAAGCGCTGCGAGGTGTCGCAAGGTGATGCGAGAAGCACGCGACAACTCAACAAGATCCCGACGCGCACAGGTGGTGAACGCGCCAGAAGCGACTTGCTGCGTGAGCAACGGCGCAGCAAGATCATCGCTTACCTCGCTTCACACAACGTGAACGTGCGCGGAGTTCTCGCTTCGCGTCTCCTTCCTGCTCGGCCGAGATCGCCACCGGTTCCAGTCGACTGCCGCTCGCTTTTCCCACCGCGGAGCGTAGAGGAAATTATCACTATATGCGCGATCCAAGGGTCAAGAATGGTGTGGGTGTACGCGCGCGTACGTGTACGTGTGTGTATGTGGGTGTACGGCGCGGATCTCACGCGCGGGTGCGGTGCAGCAGCAACACCGTAGTGAACGCAGAAAGGAAAGAGGGCCTATGGAAGAGAGAGAGAGAGAAGTCTCTCGTGTAGGACGCGCGAAGAAATTCGCGAGGAGAGGAACGCGCGCGCGCACTCCGGGACCGTCGACGATCGACTGAATCTGTATCACGCCGGCACCGGGGATTATGTGAGCCACCACTTTCCGGTGACCTTTGATCTTTGATCTCGGATTCACCGCGTGGACCCTGGGCTCCCGTCTTGTCGTCGATAAAGCGATGCGACGCGACGCGATCGGAGGTGTGGAGGACGCGCGCGCGCGCGCGCGTAGCACCGGCGAAACACAGCTGTTTGGCGCGGATCCGTTGCACCACGTTGAGAGGAGAACGAGGTCGCTCGCAGGCCGAACTCGATAACGCGTAACTGCTTGATCGTGCTACTTCATCGCGACCGCGATATCCGCAATCGCCCGTCTCCGTTTTCGCGCGCGACAGGAGAAAAAAGGACGTTGCTGTCCATAGGTTCAATGGTGACATTGCCATTCAAGTAATCGAGCGACGTACCTCTTTTTGCTATGTACGGACACAAAGAGGCTACCTACTACAGCCTCTTTGTGTCCGTATAGTACGTAAAAACTACGCGTGTATACAAGCTGTTCACGTAACAGCTCTCTCTGTCTCTCTCTCATTGTCACGCGGTTTTTTATTTGTATTATATTGTATTATTGACATTAAGAGAACACGTGAAGATAACAGACACTGAGATACTGAGAAACAAGCTTGTTAAGATATATACGTTTATTGCAGGTACCACGTCATTCTCATGAGACAAATTTATCCTGACGTGTCCCTCGATTTGTTCTGTACTTAGGACGACATTCTATGCATGAAACGCTTAGAACATTCTCGCCATGTCAAGTCGAGGTCAGCGCGTGTCGCCGTACTATCAGTATAGCGAAAGATACTAGAGACGAACAATTGGCGGTCCACCGGAGTAATAATAGTAATACGCTAATAATAGTAAGCAACACATTAGGGCCGAGCGGGTCGGCGTCCCGAGTGTCCTCGCGACTCGGCTCGCATGGCGACCCGGCGATTCGAGATTTAGGTTAAGTCCGGTTGCGTGGCGCAGATACCGGTGTTACGCGACCGATGATGCCGCGAGGAGCCTAACGGACACGGAAATCGCCGGAGGAATACGTAACACGAGATTTGAGTTTACGATTCGGTCCGGTATCTCTCGTGTGCACGAGAGCGGCACGCTGAGCGTGTCTCGCTTACCTGGTGACTCGACGTGGCTCGAGATGTCCTCTTGGCGGCCTCACGCGCAGCGTTTCGACTCCTCTCGTTGGATTCCCACAGCACGTATTTCAAACGAGACGGACAGACAGACTGACTGACGCGGAGACCCTCGGCTTCCTGCACGCGCAAACGACAGCGATTTACACAAGCTTTGTACTACCAGCAGCCGACCGAGCCGCACCACGGTGTCTTCATCTCTGAGTCGCTCCTCTCGACCGGCAGACACTCGCGCCACGGCTTCGGATCGCGCAGTCCACGCGGCGTGACGCGACTCGCTACGACTCTCGCGAATTAACGCCAGCGCGGCATACGGAGCGCCGACCACACCGCCGAGGCCATCTTGCCGCCTGAACTGGCGCGAGGGATCGATTCGCCGCCGCGAGAGACCCCTCTGTCGACGCGCGCGCGACGTCAGACTCGCTCGAGTTTCCGAACTATATCTAACAACGCCCTCCTTTTCCGCATGTAAAAAATTCTTAGCCGCGCTTCTTTCAGGCTGAAGGAAAAGGATCCGTCTGCGCGATCGCGGAATCGACGGCGATGCGCGGACTTGTTCTCGTGGACTTTAACGAAAATTGCTACCTCGCATCCCGAATCCTCCACCTCCCCGCATCTGCGTCACCCTCGTGCCTCTCTGTACCTGTCAAACGTTGACCTAACATTTCAAAGAATGCGACAAATACGAATACTCCCAAGTGGAACAGATTGCCTATTGGTTAACGTTCTTGAAATTAACTGTTGGAACGTATCTATAAGATAACAAGTCGATGTCAATAATTCGTCTCCATTAATATGACATCGATTAAATAACAGTTTACAGTTGGTTAATAGCTAATTCATTTACGCATCTTACAGTTATCCTTTAATATATATTTAATTTGTATCCATGTACCAACTTGATACATGATACTTTGTATCTAAATGATATCTTTTTGGATATTAAAAGTTATCTTTCGGGCGAACATTAGATAACCTTTTCAGTAAACAGAAACTTAACTTTTTTACCGAAAATAAAGTTATCCTGACCTAATTGTATATAGTAAAATGGAATACTTTAAGATAACGTTGTTCTACTTGGGCTGGTAGATCTCGCTTAAAATTCATCAAGTGAAATATCGTTCAATAAATTACAAACGAGTACAATTCGCCGTTTCGTTGTATAGATATTTATGAGAAACATTCTTTACATACTCCCGAGAATTGAAGCACTGAATCGAGAGCATTCGACAATCCCGCACGTATTACATAAAACGTGGAAAAACATCGCGCATGTATCACTCGTTAAATTACCAATGGCAATTGGCCATAGTTATGCAAGAATGTTATCTTTTTATCCATTTTTAAGGATTAAACTTATATCTCCAAAAAGAAAAAAAATTACACTTATCTTCTTGAACGATTGCGAGGAGAATATCCAGTACTATCTATACTTCTTAAATCAAGTTTCAAATTTTCATCTTCATTTTTTTCAAAACATACTTCATGCGAGTTGGACCCATTCTTTTTGCATAACTGTGGTCAATTTTCGCCTGCATTTTGCAAGATATATCGGATCCAAAAGGGAACGCGTTCGAATTTAATAAGCTCGATGAATTCAATTTAAAGTTACGCAGGAGATATTTCTCAAAATTCTATTCGCGGACCGCAGTATCGAGCGAGCTGCTTTAATTCCCAACATTTTGCATCTTTGGACTGGATATTCATAGAATGACGTGCACGCATCACGCGACGTTTCTCAATGTTATGCAGGGGAGGAGAGGGGCGGTATAATTGTTGATTCAGAAATATAAGTTTCTGCTACCTCGACCCTAATGCGTTGATATCAGTCAGCGGTAAATACAAGCGACTCAATTTTCTTTCGCCAATTACACCATTACACTTTGCGACTCGCAATACGATTGCGTCGGTACGGCGCACAAAGTTGCACGGACGTTAAGCGGTGGGCCACAGGCATGCTCCGAAAATATTGCGCGTACGCGGGCGCATCGCGGAACAGAACTCAAAATCGTCCCGGGGACTATATTTAAGCGGCCGAGGAATGTTTGTACGTGTCACTGTTGACGCAAGAGTACGCATCTTAGCCCTGATCTACGATATGCTCTTTGCTTCCTGCTTCTTTCTGTTTATCTTTTTCTGACTAAAACCTTAAGCTTTAAAAAGCCAGAAAAAGACAAGAAACAGAATGCAAAGAGCATATTGCAGATCAGGCTTTATAACTGTGCCCACTATGCTTTTTACGCGCAAACATACACACTCAGTAATTAAATGGCCACACATTTTTCTGAGTGAGTTTGCAGTATTCCTGGTTGTTATAAATCAAGAGACACTACTGATACGTCGCGTTGTAATCAGTTATCGGACAGGAGTCGAAGTGACAGAGTATAGAAATAAATTGGATTAATACAACATTCAAATATCGTTATCTTCCCGTAGTTTAAATTATGAACTTGTGGACTTTGAAGGGATAAATTTTATTAACTGATTACACAGCGCGAACGTGTCAGCAGTGTCTTTCAATTGTGACAACCAAAATTGTGCTGCTACTTCACTCGGAAAAATGTGTTGCCACCGTCTGGTAACCGAGTTTGCATGCGGATAAGAGGCACAGGCCTCGCCGTTAACCACTATGAATCTGTCCACGAATAATTCAACGTGTACGCTACACACCGTACAAAAATATCACTCGGCGTTACGTGGCGTGCGCTAACAAAAATATATCCGACGTGCAAAAGGGGATCCTTATCGGGGCTTATCAGTCTTTTCTTACCTCATGAGCTTAAAGTCATTTGGAACTTCGCGCGACGCTTATCGCGCGTTCCATTGCACACTCATCATTACATTGTCAATGCACATAAACGGCACAGCAGAGTCACACCGCGAGTTAGTCAGCTCGTCTTGATAAAGCGCAAATCTTTACCAAGCAAGATCCACGCGTGAAATACGAAGCTTCTACGCGCGCACGCACACGCCAAACCGAATAGATCCGCCGACGCGACTACGCTTTGCTACGTACCTTGTTGTCTGTTTAACGCACGACGCTCACTGCAAAGCGTGTCAGCTCGAAAGTATGCTCTAAAGCGGGCTTATTCGCCGCATCGCATGCTCGAGACACCGGTGTACTCCACGAGCGCGGCAGCTCGACGGAATAGCCGGTACGCGGAGCCGCGACGCGCTCTCGCACGTCTCGATATAGACAGGCCGGCCTGCACGCGAACCAATGAGACGCCGAGGCGCAAAGGGCGGGGATGTGGCGTGATCCTCGGTGACGTCACAGTCGCCCGCGATCGATAAGTAACGCGCGAACTTCGCGACGAACTTCGCTCCGACGCCGATGCATCCGCGACGATCGATGCCCCGCGCTGATTCACACAGGCAATCTCGTCGGGCACGTGTTTACGATGCGTATTATCTGCCCGTGTCGATACTGTCCGGCGTCGACTGATAGTCGCTCCACGTCGCGAAAACGCAACCGCCGAGCTCGACGTAAACAAACTTTCGCCGTAGCATCACGTCCCGCACTCTCGCGGTCTTATATCTGAATCATACTGTCATACTATTGTACTGTAAAATAGAGATGCTACTTTACCGACCGCCGTCCGTCGGTTACCATTCGCGCTCGTTCTCTTACCGACGAGATGTTACTTTAGAGGTTAATCCCGGCCGTGTTCTCGTCGCGTAATATGTGAGCGCTGATTGCGCTCTTTTCATTCCGTCAAGTTCCGTTTTCTTCAGCTAGGTACATTAAACAAACGGAATAACGAACGAGTTGCAAATGTGGAATATATTCGCGTCCACCTTGCGCACAAATTTTCTCCCATAAACCAATTCATTGTTCACCCACTCTGTGTATACCCAGCTTCATACAAACAACCTATATGAAGTTGTCTTCGCTTGAGAATCAGAAAGGTGTAGTTAGCGTTTAAATTCGCATTGCGAATACGATGCAGGTTTACAATAAGTCCATCACACGATCTACACTAGGTGTAGTAAGCTTTAAGCCGTAAGAAATTAACTAATCACAATTAATTATTCCTTTATAATTCCACTGTGATTGGTCAATTTCTTAAGGTTTAAAGCTTACTACATCTATTGTAGATTGGGACTAAAGCCAGCTTAGAGGAAACAGCCAATGGCTTTCTACACTTAAGCCAGCGGCACATGATGCTTGTTTTCGTGCTGGATTGTTTGCTGGATGGAAATACTTTGTTTTGATTGGTACATTTCCATCCAGCTTTAGAAATGCACCAATCAGAACAGAGTATTTCCATCCAGCAAGCAAACCAGCACGAAAACAAGCATCGTGTGCCGCTGGCTTAAGTGTAGAAAACCATTGGCTGTTTCCTCTAAGTTCAAAACTGTAATGTAATTTTCGGCCAAAAACGTTTCTCTTTGCTGTCTGAAGTCGTAATCCCTAAAATTTATTTTATTTCAACGAAATTGATCAATCACATTTCTCATTAGTCAGAATTGACAGATGCGATTGGTCAATTCTGTTGGAATAACTAGCCGATTAAATTAACTAAAGTTGATAAAAGCAGACATGATTTATAGATATTGATATCGTTTTCGCAAATGGAAAAATTAGTCGATCCAGGATCAATAACGCCACAATACTAGCTAATCACATAATTCGAACTTGATCAACCCTAGATCGATCAAAAATCATCCACTTGAAAACGTTATAAAGCCGATATTCATAGTCGAATCTTATTTCAAGACCGTCTTAAGTAATGTCTTAAGATGCGAATACGGCTCTGTGGCCGGTATTCATAGTCCGAACTTATATTTAAATGTCATGAACCAATCATAGAGCCGTATTCGCATTTTAAGACATTACTTAAGAAGGTCTTGAAATAAGATTCGACTATGAATATCGGCCTATGATTGATTTATGATATCTTAAAACAGTACTTAAGATGATCTTAAATATAAGATCTGACTATGAATACCGGTCTGCGACGATCTAGTGCATTTCACACGTTTCAGATAGCGCAGTGTTTAGTAGTCAAATGGAGTGTTGTGATTGGTCGGTCGTTGCGATTAGAGCGCGTCAAGCGCCGAGAGTTGTCTAGCCTGTGTGCTTGACTCGGTTTCGGTGACGTTCGTCCACGTTCGAAAGCCGGTTCGTGTCTACTGCGATTTCGGCTCGTCCAGGGTGAGTTCCGCGCACGAATCGTCATCAGGGGTGCTGGAAATAAATTTTGCTCGTCGTCGTGGCAAGACGTCGGTAAATGGTAGCCGAAGATGAACATTCTGTGGGACGGTTTGTCACAGGTATCGTACGACTGTTATGGCTGTGTAAAGACTAAAGTCCGTATTCTAAGTTCTCTTTTAACGATAAATGAGCCTTTAAAAGAGACTTAAAGTCACCTGAGAAGCTACATTTAAAGCACTTTTATCGATAAAAGAGGATTCAAAATATAGGCCCAAGTTGCTATTCATCGTTTTCGGCCCGGTGAAAGACTCTCGGACACGAGTCATCATCGAAGATAAAATCCGTGCGCTTATCTTGACGAAATATCGGTAGACAATCATGGAAAATAATCACTTCGCGGAACGGTCATCGACAGCAATGGGTGAAGTGTCGCATAACCGTTACTGCGGTCGTTTAGAGTGTGAGCTTCTGTCCTTTCGCGTTTTCGACTTTCCGAAGGAGTCTCGCGAATCATCGTCATGGGGAAATAGGTTTCGCTCGTGGCAAAATGTCGTGGGAAAGTCGCCGAAAGTAAGTACTTCGCGAGACGAATTATCGGAATACCGAGCAAAGTTAGTCACATTTGATGCTTCGAGAATCGCAATTGTCGGCGTCAGTAAGGGAACAGACAGCGACGCTATGGTGCGGATCCCGCAAGCTGTCCAGTATTTCCCGCGAATTCGACTCGTCGAAAGCGAGTGAATTACCGCCGGTGATATTGAAGCAAGTAAGTTTCGCGCATTGTCGCGGCAAGATGTCGCCAAACAACCGCCGAATATCTCGCGGTTCGTCGGGAATGAGGAACAAAGCACTGCACATTCGTTGTTATAACAGTTTGAACTTAAAATGGCTGTTAATTCGTCGAGAAAAAATTTCGCGCGCGAAGTATCATCGGGAGTGTCGTAAATAAGTCTTGCATACAAAATGTCGTCGGGAGTGCCGAAAATGAGTTTCGCGCGCAAAATGTCGTCGGGAGTGCCGAAAATCAATCTCACGCGTTTTTATCAACAAGACGTCGTTAAATGGATATTCTATTGCGGAACAGATGAGAAATACAGAGCGAGATGTGTTCTGAGAGCTTCCGATCTGCCGAACGACAAGTGGGTAAGTTTGAATTTAATTGAGTAAATACAGAGATTGTAGTGCAACTTTCATTTGTCGAGTTGTACATGGAGGGAATTTTATAGTAAAAATTATTATAGGATTTTGTAACTCAGAAATAGATCGATATTCTGTAGTAATTCACAATCCTTTTACTTCATATGCGCTGCTTATATTTCAGAACCTGGAATGTGCTATTAAAACACTTGCTATGTTTTTAACAAAATCTGCTATTTTCCCAGCACTTTATATCAGTATATTTCTGGTTTATATTACTAAAAACATAGTAAAATTGAAAAGAAACTATAATATTCTCTCCGTGTGCGTTTTATTCGCGAATTTAAATCAAATGTGGTAAAACTAGTTTCTCTAAGAATTGAGAGAGAGAAAGAAAGAATGCATTACTTGGAGCTAAGAATCGAAATAAAAATAATTTATAAAATATGGGAGATGCTGTTGCACATTTCACAGGGAAGATTAAATGTTAATCGAAAATTCTATCATTATTCATTTACGCTATTTGAAGAAAATTAAAATTATTTACGTGTGCATTATAACTGATACTGACGTTTCTGTGACAAATGGTAACATGAAGGATAACACATTCAAACTTCATGAAAAATATTATCTGTTTTATTGCTTCAGAAAAAGAAGTGAATAACTTAGTGAAATGAAATGCTTGTACAATGAATACTAAATCTTATAGGTAGAGTCAGGAGAAGTCCAAAGTGCTTTCTATCGAAAGAGAAAATGATAAGGCTTGACTTTATTTGAAAATTACAATTTTCTTATACCGCAACTTGTCTATCCGATACTTGAGGTATCATGTATAGGGATGGGATCAAGTTCAACATGAGAGAATTTCAGGCACTTTAAAAGTTAAATATTACTTCGTTGAAATACAACGATATTTTCTTAAACTTGAACATCATGAATTCACTTTACATAGAAGAACTACTACAATCAAATATATAATACAGAATCCAGTACATACCAATTGATACCGATATATACCAAATATATAATTGATATACTTTTCGAAGTATATTCGAGTCAGCGATATCTCACGTGCTCTTGCTTACAAACATAACAAACATAATTGTTACGTTTCAAAATATTCGCGTAAATATATTTCTCAAAGTTTCAACGCTGTTATGTTTCGAGGTCACAGCGGATCCAAACATATCGCAGATTATATTGACACGATGATACATTATGTACTTGGTCCCATTCCTAGTCATGCGTGAAACAACGAAAAAACGATAATTGAGAATCGACTATCTTGAGAAGAAGATACTTGAGAACTTGTTTGTGGGTGAAGTTTTTCGCAGGAATAAACTCTACACGCCACAAATAAGAGAGGATTTTCAAATATCTTTTCTCTCAGTGTATGTAGGATCGGATAGCTTGATCTGGAATGGCTCGCTCCGCAGCGGGAGGCACGTGTGCGCGCAGTAAGATTTCTTCTACTGGCACGATTAACATTTAAACTTTATTAAAACCAACAACAGTAAAAAAAACAAGGGTGGCAACAACAACAACAACAATGTCGATACGCCTCACAGCGGAAACTGTACTATTCCTCTCTTTCTCACTCTTTTTGTTTTTTTTTCACTTCTTTCTTATTATCCTTCTTTCGCCTTGTCTCTCGCACTATCACTCTCGCCGACCGTCAGCAGTTCGAACGAGCATTTCAGTGCGATCGTCAGTCTGAGCGAGCGACCGCCTGTGGAGACCTGCGACATTAGTAATATTTGCACATGAACACACGACACACGTAGGGCGCGTCGGACAATTCGTGACAATGAATGACGGTGAACGGGTTGGGTGTGCATCTCTGTCACTGAGAGATGCTCTCACACAATACACGCAACAGCACAACGACACAAACATTGCGGTATCTACTAACGCCGCGCGCTAAGAAGCCGCAAGATCGGCCATCAGAACGCCGCTACGATCGCTATAAGCAATGCAAGGAGACAAGCGAGCAGGAGCATGGAGTACGTCGTTACCGTGGCGCAGGTTATGATGTTAGTGACACAAGACCGCGCGTCCTCGATACAGCGGGACGATTTACGATCAAGCTCGCACACTGTGGGCTCACCTTCGCAGCTCTCCTCGCGCGCGTCGCGTCGCATTTCCGCGATTCCACTCGGCAGCACCGTCACCTCTTCCTGATCGCGTTCCCGCTCCTGCCTCAGGTCGTCGGCGATGATCTTACGAAGAAGATTTTTATCTTCGTTCTCATCCGTGCTGATGGTAGTCACGGGTGTTGCCTCGCGAATACGCGCCTCCTTTTCCTCCTCCTCCTCCTCCTCTTGATGTTCTTGCTCTTTCCTCAGAGCGTCAGCGATGAGGTTGATCTTGCGAATGGGACTGTCCTCACGTTTGTTTGTGTTGGAGACAATGGTCGCCTGTGTGTCGTGAACATCAATTTTCTTATCGCGCGCTACTCCTAGATCCTCGATCTCTCGTTCGTGCTCGTACAGGCTGGCCGCGGCTAGTTGCAGGTCGCGCACGGCTCTAGACAGATCCAGCTCCACGTCGGCAGTGCAAACGTCTTGTTCGAAGTAGTCAGAGTTCACAGCTTGGTCCCCTTCGTTGCTGGTCCAAGAATCGCGCTTCGAAATTGCGCGGGTCTCTTCGGGTCTCGGAGAGACGACAACGGTAGGCCGAAGCCGGTCGTCGTACGCGTCGTCCGGGCTGTACAAGGTGGAACTGCGCGTGCTGCCGCTTTGGTTCTCGATTTCGGAAACGTCGCGTGACGTCGACGAGTTCTTGCGGGCAGAGAGTCGACTGTCGCGCAGGTGGTCGGCTACACTGCCGAAAGCCGCCGCAATCAGCTTCACATTCTCATCCGCTACACGCAGGTAGAAATCAAGGTTGCTAGTCGTTGTCGTCTCCGACTCGGGCTCTGTGGAATTCGTCGAGAACGCTGCTGGGCTCTCTACGTTCTCGCCTGCATTGTGCTTGCCATCAATATGCACGGCACGCTGGCAGTGTTCTGAGCAATGATTGTCTAAAGAACGCGCACTGCTACCTGTAGAGAGTTCGTCGGTCTCGTGCTTGGTGTCCTCGTCCGGCTTATTGTCGGCTGGCGCAACGGCGACGATGGTTTGGCCCGCCGGCTCCGGCTCGTCGCCTTTGATTAGGTTAACTAGATCTTGGCAGAGACGGCTGTACGCGCTGAAGTCCGCTTCAGTGCTGTGACTGCTATTGGCATTAGAGGCGTTGGAATCCGGGCGCAGGTACTCGTGCCAAAACTCGTCGCCTAAGGCGGCCTTCGATGTTAGCATGGCGTCGGATATCTCTGCGATACTCGGCTCCTTCTTAGGACTTTCTCGTGTCGTTGTCGTCGTCGTTGTCGTGCTCGTTTCCGGCGATATATAGACACGCGATAGCTTCTTCCGGTACGCGCCCACGGTTGGATGATTACCGTTGATATCAGTGCCGCCTCCTCTGGCCGGTTCTTTTCGCCTGTCATTGTCAGACAGCTCGCCGTCACTCACCACGCGTCTGAGATAAGGCGTTCGCTCCGACGTAGCGACCGAGTTCCTAGCAGCGTCCTGGATTTCGTCCTTGATAGCGTCGAGACTAGGCTCACGTCGCAGGTGGATCCGGTCGTGATTGATTAAGCCATACAGATTGGCCGACAGCGATCTAACGGCGCGTTTTTTCCTCACGCTCTCCGCGCCGTTCCGCGCCGCGCCCGCGTCCTTCCTGAGCGCCCTGTAAGCCAAGTCATCCGTGACTACGTCGGGCTCGCACTGCGGTATGTACGGCGAGCGCGGCTGTTCCGGTTTCGTCGGCGTCGTGTGCAGGTAATCGCTCTCTGTCGCCGCGGTCACCGGCCCGAGCGGGATACCGAACGGCGGCTGCGGGTCGATCACCTTGGGGGTGTTGTTCGCACGGTTTATACTGCGGAAGACCATGTCGTCGCGGGTCACGTCCGGCTCGTCGCGACGGCCCACCGAGTAGACCGACGACACGCGTTTCAAGTCCTCCTCTCTGCGCGAAAGAACGGGCGAGGCGACGAGATAGCTGATGTTGGACAAGGTGGACTGTCCGGCGATATCCGACAGTGACGTGGGTCTCTCCTTGGGGTGCATTCGTCGGTATGCCATGTCGTCCTTCGTTCTGTCCGGCGAGTCCGGGCTGTTCGTGGCAGCCATCGCGTCCAGCTCGCTTCTGCCTTGCCTTAGACTGAACTCCTCCATACTTCGACGTTCCGCGCGGTCCAGGAGATCCTCGTCGCCGAGGCGCAGACTGTTGTAGATCGCTTCCAGTTCGCACAGAGCTTCCTCCAGATTCCTCGAACTCCTGCGTCTCTCTGAAGCTTCCTCGGCCAGCGTCGTTTCACTGTTGCCTTCCCCGTGACTCTTCTCGATATCGTTTCTATCAGCATCGCACGTCGCAGTGACATGTTCACAAGGAGACCTCCTGGACAACCGATCGGTCCACATGGCGGTCACATACGACGGAACAGTCTCCTTTTTACTCGACTCGCAAATTTTCGCTGATTGACCCTGAGGGATATACGCGCTGGAATTCGCGTCGTTGCGACTCAGCTGTTCGTTACGAATGTTTCTGCGCCGGCATCTCGTTAGTTCAGTCTCCTTGTAGAGCTCGTTGTTCGTGCAGTGGCGGCTGGAGTTGTACTTGTTGTTCATATACTCCAGCGAATTGCAAATCTCCATCTTGGGAGTCGATGTCGCCGAATATTTCAGCTGGACTGTGTCGCACTGTCGGGCGATCTCGTTGTTTGATCCGTACGACCGAAAGTGCCGCCAATCCGGCCTCGACAGTTCGTTCGCGGCGTTCGCTGCCTCACCGTATCTTCGCTCATAGCAGCTCGACGCGTTCTGGTGTCTGTTGGTCGGATAAGAGTTGTAGCCGTGACTGAGCGCGCGGTAACGAGGATCCCTCGGCGGTGGCTCAGGTGGCCGACTGTCCTGACTGAGCAACCGACGCTCGGCAACGCGTTCAAACGGCTCTGGATAATAGCCGATGTTCTTCGCAGGATATGTGAAGAAATTCCCGCCCTGACGATTGTCCACATACGCCTCCGTGCTGATGTTTCGTGAGATCTTGGCGTAAGTGTTATTCTGATTCATGTCCGTGACATATTGTCCGCTGGAATACCTCCTGCAGTCGTTAAAGGAAACGATTTCAGGATCGGGTAGGCCCACACAGTCCGCGTTGATCCGCAGGCTCTCCACAGAGGATCTCTGAGGGGGTAGTGCGCGAGTGTTCGGGGAGTTTTGAGGGGAAGCCACGCTGATCGCACGACGCGGGTGCACGGGCGGTCGGCAGGATCCGTTCATATCCGCGTAAACGACACGTTGTTGCTGCTGCTGCTCATCCTCCGCCGTGTGTTCCGAGGAACATCTTTTATTGGGCGGTTCATTCGAGGTGTCGCCGTTGCCGTCGTCTCTTGACAGTCGCTTGATGTAGCGCTCCGTGCGGGCGGCTCGCGTCTTCCTGTTGCACACGTTGCTCCGTTGACCGTTGTACGCGCCGTCGGCGGCGTGGAATCGGTTGAGCGACCCGTTGGATCGCCGACAATCCTCATCGGAGCTGCTGTCGGCGCGCAGGTGATCTCTCTTCGCTTCGGCCCGCGCCTTCAGCTTGTTCTTCCGAATCTTCTTGCCCGAGCCGTCCAGTGAACCGTCGCTGCTGCGAGAATGCAGCGAATCGCGACGCAGCTGCGACGGCGACCCCGTCGAGCGACGAGTGCTGTTCTCGATTTTTACCCCTCTGTTGTCCTGCTCCGGGTTGTTCTCTATCGACTGCAGAACCACATCGTTCGTCTGTCTGTTGAGTTTCGTCAGTTTCCTCGGTGTTCTCTTGCAGTAGACGATCTCTTCGTCGTTGGAGGAACTATCGTAGTCTCTAATCGAGGATATCCGCCGCAGAATACCGCCTATCGACCATTTCCTGTCCTTCTTCTTGGCCGACGTGCCGGATACCGCGTCGCAAACAGGTAAACGCCGCGTTGGTGGCAACAAGCCGTCCATCCTCAGCATGTCCTTTTTCCGCAGTCCCTTTTTCTCCATCATGAACACCGCCGATATGTTTTGATGCTAAAAATATCTGGAAGGTGAAGGTATATTTCAGTATTTTTTCTTGAAAATATTCTATGACGTAGTTTGTCCTACAACTTACTTGTAAACAAAATGACGTGTAAAGTAATGCTTAAGTTCGATGTAATATGCTTAAGTAAAATATTCGAGGCAGTATGACACGTCCCGAAATTACCCCGAAACGTCCGCGATGTCTTGAGTACCTTTGAAACTGGTGCACGTAACTTTACAGCAATTTTAGACATATTCAGTGAAATCCGAGTGACTATGACTGATAAAATTGCACTTATATTTATCGCAGAGAAAATGACGAGATAAAAACACAAAAGAAATATGAAAAAAATGAATGAATAAAATGAAAATTTGCTTCGAATAATATATCATGATAAATGTAATGCGACAATATTTTAGTGTAACTTTTGATAAAATTTGTTGCTGCATCAATGCAACAAAAATTTTATATCGTTATATAATGTCAATTTAATGATTAATTCGATACATTTACTTCATAAGTGTCATTAGAAAAATTGTAAAGTTCTCGTCATCGATTCTCACGTCGTGATAATCGTGAAAGTCTATCTGGATGATGTCTTAGATCGTCTTACGCACATTCAGGATGATCTCAGGACATTTAGTGCTGCCTGGCAGCATAAGCATATGATTTCCACGATAACATTGTTTCAGCAAACGCGTAATACTGACCAAGAAAATTATAAAGAGGCATAGCATACAAACCATTTGACATTAAGAGTGCAGGATAACACACGAGAACGTTGAATCTTTCATAAGTTCTCACGATGTATAACGAACGCATTCGCTGAATGTATTTGCAAAATTAATGACCACGCGTTCAGTGCTCCTCGCATACCAGTGTATAATTAGGTATGTTTAGCGCACAAACTATTTTTAATCTCACCGACTCATCCTGTCGAACGTTTCTTCGGATCCAAAATTACCGCGGCATTTTCGTGGGGAGAAAAGACAGAGAGAGAGAGAAAGAGAGAGAGAGAGAGAGAAAGAGAGGGAACTGTTCACGAGTATGCGGCAAGTACACACCTTACTCACATATTCCAAGAATCTCTGATTCTCTCTCACTCTCTCTCTCTCTCTCTCTTTCTCTCTTTGTCTCTTGGCGCTCTGAGGAAAAACAAAAAAAACATCGGAATTTCTTGATAGAACTCGTAACTCGGCATTTGTCCCGACTTATAAATACGCAAGTACTTCGCTGTGTACTAACCTCTGCCGCGCGCGCGCGTGCGTGGCAATGATGTCGAAATCCGCGCGAGACGATTCCTTCCTCTGCAGCGAGCCGCTGCCAAGCTGCGAAATAATGAGTCACGGAACACCAGACTCACAATCATTGAGCTTCGATGAGGCTTGCAGCAGCAGCAGCTGCTACGAGAGCGCGGCACGATTCAGCGAGGTCAGTGCTCGTCGTCGTTGCCGTCCCCGTCGCCGTCGTCGTTGTCGTCGCTGTGCGGCCAGTCGATAAGCATGATAAGACGCAATCGCGGCCAACACCTTGTGTACTCTCGTCGTCTTTCGGCTCACTCTCCCCTCTATCTCTCTCACTCGGCGACGTCAGACACGAAGTCTTGACAGCTTGTCGCTCCGTGGAATAACGTCGTACGTCCGGCTGAATCCGCCTGAATCCGACGCCTCTCGCTGCTCCAGTTTCACTGATTCGGCAGCTCTCTCAGAGCCCGCGAGGAAGCCCGCGTGACCTCGAAACGTCCATCTCTCTCTTTTACAGGGCCGCATGAACTAGATATTCGACGCGTGAACGGCATGCACGGCCATTACCAGCCGAAGACGTCGCGCGTTGCCCACCGCTCGTGAGAGGCACGCTCGCTACACTACGAAGCGACTCGTACCAGACGTTCCTGCGAGAAAAGCGAAACGATTCGTCCTCGAGAACCCCACCCATGCCTCTCTCGAGTCTCTCGCTCGCTCGCTCGCTCGCTCGTTCCTTCCTTCTTTCTTTCGTTCGTTCGTTCTCTCGCTCGCTCGATCTTCGCGCGAGGCACCCACGCGCTACCCTACCACGTGCGCACAGTCGACTGCTGTAATGATACCTCGTGGGCAGGTAGATATACTTAGCGTTACCGTATCTTGTCCCCACTACGGGAGCTCGGGCCTTGATAAGCCAGGAACGCGACAAAGTCACCTGGCGCCCGTGGCCGAGACATCTTCCAAGAGCGACAATCTTTCTCACGACTTGCAAGACGCACCGGGCCTTTTAATTGCGATAATGCATAATCGACTTATCTAAATTGGCGCTCGACAACGTTGTCTCAAGTGAGCGAGCGATAAGAAAGGTCTCCGCAGGGAATGATAGAGTGAACAGGTACAACTGCGTGAGTGTTAAGCTTTTTCGTTTATTGAAAATATCTCTGTAAAACGTGTGTATATTGTGGCCGGGCGAGGTAAGCCGACAATACCGAATCTTCGACAACGAAATGAAATTCGGGTAGCAAACGAAGAGATACGGTGAAGACATTGAAAACAATATTAGTCGATCGTATTTAGTATCTACATAAGTAAAGGACGAATCAACGATGCATTCGCTTACTTTTTAATCTTATTATTAATTATATTATGTATAACAAAGCGGTAACAACTTGTTAATTGTAACTATTATGATAATAATCGTTTACTTTATATAATTACAATAATGTAATGTAAGGATCGTTAACTAATCGATAACAAACGAATCGTATTCTCCTCCTTTTACTTTGCTCTTCTTCATCGTTTTCTTCTTCTTCGTCATCTTCATCGTATCCTCTCCTGTCGTTCTCGTCTTCGTCACTTGCTGTTTTGATCCGAATATCGATCGTTAGCGTAAATCGTGTTATTACTTTTTTCCTCTCTTTCTCCCTCATCTCCTTCGTCTCTCTCATTTTTTCTTGTATTAATTATTTAACAACAGTTTTTTTATTCTCTTATTATTTGCTCTTTATAATTTAATAATCGTAGTAAACATATATAGTAATTATTTATAATATTGTGCAAATAACTCATAGTTTCTCTTGTTATTTTAGTTTTGTTAGGTAGTAATGAATTTTTCTCATATTCAACGGAGGAGCTTCTCTCTGTGTTTCCTCATGTTTCCTCGCGTGTCTCGGCCTGCGCGCGAGCGCATCCACCACACACACACAGCCCACACACACGCGTGTGTGTGTGGACACGCACGTGTCACAAGCACCCGATCCGCGTGTCCGCACGAACACGCGCGAGCGCGCGCGAGCTCACGCACACACACACATACATACACACACCACACTCTCTCTCTCACACACACGCACGCGCACACGCACGCACGCACACACACACGCACGTACGTACGCAGAATTTTTTTTGTTTTAATGGACGATCCTTCGCACGTTTTATTATTATTTTTTTTTTAATGTTTCGCTGCTAGTTCATTAAAATTGGATTTTTAACATGTTGTCTACCTAGCTTCATTCCATGGCAGTTGCTTGTTCATTTTTACTGGCCGACAGGCTCCGGTAGCTTGACACTTTACAATGCTTTAGCCCAGCTCTAGGATTTTTGTTTCATATTTATCTTCATTTTTTTTTTATTTCGTTAATATCATTATTTATTATCTGACGACGTAGGATTAATGATTCGAAAGTATCGAGACACTACAAAGCCTTTTTTTTTTTGGTTGCTATCCGTTTAAGAAAATTTTCGTGCATTTACGATTATTTAACTTAGTTTTCTTTTTATATAATGCATAACGGCAGTATCGTCCTCAGAGAAAGTACGTTAAATCTCGTCTTACCTCGCTTAACGAAGGAAAGCCCTATTATTTTTTTTTTCTTGTTATATATCTTACAGCCGTCGTCGCGCAAAAAGCTGATAATTTTAATGTACATTTCGGAAAAAACTAATGAAAATCAACGAAGCACACCACGCACACTCTTCCATCCCCCTCCCCCTTCGCGACATTGTCCTCGTCATTGTCCTAGTCGTCGTCGTCGTCGTCGTCGTCGTCGTCGTCCTCCTCCTCGTAACCACCCTCATCGTTGCAACATGTCGACCGCGTATGAACGCGTATCCCGTTCCCGTGTGTGAGAAAAACAGTTCCCTCCCGCGATTTCACCAAGTGCTCCTCGGACAATCCTCGCGAGACGACGCGTAACGCCTCGGGACGGACGGAATGTTAATCGGCGCCGATGAACATGTCGCGATCCAATTGCTGAGGGAAGTCGTGGTTGAGCGCGAATGGGGCGCCGAAACATTCCCATCCGGCGACGAGTCGACGCATCGTCGGGACTTCGCCCCGAGACGGACACTCGGTGTCACACACACGGAGATCATCTCGAAAATGAGCGAACACCGAAGCGAACGTCTGCGATTTCCCGCTCTAACTACCGAGTATTCTGAGACGCGATCCCAGACGCGTCTTCCCCGAGAATTCATTGAGACGCGTTCGGAACCTCCGCTGCTCGATCTCACACGACCACGTCGTCACAGCCTAATTGCAAGCTACCCAGATAGACAGGCGTTACATAAAGACTGCGACCAAGCGCGCATAGAGACATTTCACGTTACTTTTCCAAATATTTTGAGTATTCCAATGAATGATACATCAATTTGAAACTTAGAACGAATATATCATGAATATAAATCTCAATATTAGTTTCTCGCAGTCGTTTAGGAGATAAACTGTTCAAAAAATTGCAAACTCAACAAACAGCTAGTATGGCCAGCTAGTTGGTTAGTGTGATACAATAAAAAATTTACAATTATTAATTAATAATTATACAATGTTAATTTAATGGTTAATTCAGTATAGCATACTTCGCTTGTCTGCAAAATAAATCCAAAATAATCAATTCAAAATAATTAATTTAATATGGTAATTACGTCACGAAAGTAATTAAAAGAATCGCAAAGTTTCCATCGTCAATTGTCTCATAATCATCTTCATGCGTGACAATCATGAAAATCTATCTGGGTAATTATGCGAATTACTCGTGCCACGAAAATTTCCTGATGTTCCAGAAAAAGCCGTGGAACGTGAATCATCATCGTCATCGTTATCATCATCCCTTCTCGCGTGCCGTGATGAATTCAACGCAGATGGTCAAGCAAAGTGCGCAAAAATAGAGAATCGCTCTGCCCGTCCCGTCCCGTCGAATGTGGCGATATGATTCATTTTTTTTTCCTCTCTTTCTCTCCATCCCCCACTTCAGATGACTCACTCTCTCGAGATGATCTCGCGCGAAGCTCGCCTTTAGCGGCGCGTCACTCTGTGTGCTCGCCCCCGCGGGAAGAACGATGCACTCGCGGTGCAAGTCGTCAAGGAGGCGTTTCCGGGGGCCGACCGACCGGGCGGCCCCGCGACTGTCCGTCTCGTTTAAGGCCCGTCTCGGCGTACAGATTCACATCCCGAGACATGAGCGGTGTTACATAAGCGCCTCGGCCAATTAAGAAACAGCCAGCGAGCGAGCGAAGCTCCGCGTGTTCTTCGCTCGCGGACGACTCTTGCACGCGCGACACGCTTCCGACGTTGCACCGATTGCAATCGTCTCGACACGAGAGATGCGCGTAGAGTTGGGTAGAAATGCGAAAAATGACGACGCCGGGGATGCAAATTCGTACGCGACGGCTCGCAATTCCCGCCGCCCCCGTCGCTTTTCGTCGCCCCCCCGCGAGCGATTGCGCGCTCGACTCGCCTTGTTGATCGTCCGACGAGCGTGAGTATCGAAAATATATGTGTATGTGTACATTATTGATCGCGCGCGTACAGGAAGCTGATTTGATTATTACCGAATTATATCTGCACGCGTTACAACACGGGAGAGAGAAGGCCAAACGCTTAAGTAGTATGGGGTGGAGCGGGGAGGGGAGGGGGTCTCGGAGGTACGGGAGGTACAGTGAGCCGGACGGACCATCGGATAATACGTGGTGTGTATTTCGATATATAAGAACGATCGACGATTATATATCCCAGGTCGTCTTCGACTCCTTCCGCGCCGCGCCGCGTCTTTGTCATCTTCGTCATAAACGTCAGTCGCGCTTTCGGGACGCGGCAGCCCGAGGGACAACGCCGGGGCGAGGGTGCCGAACGACATTGACGCCACCAACGAAGAACGCGAACGGAGAACGATGACCTTCTCCCCGAATGATCGAGTAAACGAACGAACGAACGAACGAACGAACGAACGAACGAGCTGCTGTGCAGCCGCGTGCATATGTACAGCCGTCGAGGAGCTATTTTTACGAGGGTGTGCGATATAAAAAATACTTTCTCGCACCGGCATCCGAGACGACGCGCAGGGAGCGAAAGCAACGCGAGTCCCGTATGAAACGAGACGTTTTTGCACGCGCACGTCACCGGCGAAGGGGAAAAATTTCAGAGACAGACGTCACGTGTCTCTCTAATTTGGGATTGCGTTTCAAGTTTGCATTCCGAAACAATCCTTTTGAGGACAATTTTACTGATAATTTAGAATTCACGTTCCATATATTGCGGATTTTCAATAGAATTTTCCTCAAGGAAAACGTTTCAGCTTGCATTCGAAGACGTCCTTTTTGAGAACAATTTTGCTGGAAATCCAGCATTTTGATATAAGTAACGTGAATCATAGATTATCAGTAAGATATTGCTCTCAAAAAGCATGTTTGGGAATGCAGCCCAGGAATTCAAATCGAAAATGCGCGCTTTCTTTCTCTCTCTTTCCCTTTGCTTTCTCTTTGCTTTCTCTTTAGCCGATGTTGTTTGCGCTTTTACGGTTGTCATCGCGTCGCGTGAATTCCTCCGCGTGTTGCCCGTTTGTTAGCCAACCAGGCGTTCAATCACCTCGAACTTTGCCTTGAACTAGCCTCGATACGTCCGCTGAACACAGTCATTGTTCTCGTTATCACGTCCGTCGCCAGTCGTCCTCGTCGTTCTTCTTCTTTTTAGCTCTTGCCGCCGAGCTGAGTTAACCAGACTCATCGCTTGCGTTCTCGACCAGCGAGAATGCGTTCTCCCTCCCTCTCCGTTCCGCCCGAATTTCAGAGGTCGTCGTCGTCGTTGTCGCCGTCATCATCATCATCATCGTCGTCGTCGTCATTATCGTCACCCTCCCACGCGCATTGACTTCCTGTCACCGCCTCTGAAAGAGCCGACTATAACAGCTTCCTCGTCGTCGTCGTTGTTATTGTCCCTCTCGACCCGCGCACGTCCTGTTCTCTCTCTCTCTCTCTCTCTCTTTCTCTCTGTCACACTCTCTCACTCGTTTATCTCTTTCTCTCCACGTCCCTTTCCTCCGCCCTGCCGACCCTCCGAATCGCGGGATGTAGACGTAGAAAAATAACGATCGCGCGATCCGCATTAACACACACACGCGCGCACACACGTCTCTTTTGTTTATTTTTTTTTTTTCTTGTAATCTCGCCGCCTACTTAAGCTCACCGCCGCGTGACTGCGATAACGCTCTTAATTCGACGACGGAATGTTACGATCGTGTACGTGCCGGATACCAAGACTGCGCGTCGTGACACTGTCTTCCGACCGACATTTCACAGGGGGAAGGATAACTACGCTCGAAGAAAAATGCAGATTCTACAGAACGGACGTATAACCGCAGCGCCGTGTTCTTTTTTTTTTTCATTTGTTCGTTTGTTTGTTTTTTACTTTCAATCGTTGCCGAGCGCAAGTCGTCGGCAAGACGAGGCTTCTTCGCGAGGATCATCGGATTTTCGTTTCGACAGTTGCTCATCCGTGCACACGTGCGAGAGTCGCGTCGCCCGAAACTTGCATGAGAGCCCCTCCCGGAGACATATGTCAGACAGAAACAATTCTCGATCGAGACGATTTACCGGCTCGATTTGTCGTTCGGCGTGTAAGCTAATCCTGTCTCTGGATCTCGCGCGCGGGCGAGATAAGTCGACAAGCACGACGATACATGATTGACGCGTATGCGTATGCAATTTTGTAACGAGTAAGTCTCCGCGCTGTTACGCGAAGAGCAAGAGAATTGCATTGTCTCTCGTGTGAAGAAACGCTTCCGCACAAAGGTAGGATCAAGATCACGAGTGAGACTGACTGGCTCCATCCAGGACACGTGTCATTAAAGCGCTGCGTCTCTGTATTTATTCTTAGAATAGCAATTTTGCTCGAGCGACTAATAAAATGTCAGAGGAAGAAAGACGGGCGCTCTTTGTGTTTGCCTCATCCCGCACGTACAACATCCGCCTTATTGTATATATATATATTTATATGTGTGTATATATATATGTATATATAATATATATATATATGTGTGTATGTGTGTATGCATGTATGTATAACGTATCTTACAAACATGGCCATTAGCAGAGTTAGTAATGTCGTCATCGTCGTCACGCGTTATAATAAACTCCGTGTACAAATCGTTTTAACACACGTTCGAGTTGCTTGGTGATTTGCGTGTAGGTTGCGCGAAGGCGAAAATATATGATCGGTCGCTTCGTGGCGGAATCGCGACGACGACGACTGCGGTGACGTTTGCATGACGGAAGGAGTGCAAGGTGCTTGCGGATGCAGAGAAAGACAGTCGTAGTCCGAGCGAGTCGGGATTCCGTCCCGAGACGCTCGAGACGACGACGACGACGACGGGAGAGTCACGTGGACTCCCGCGCAGCTGGAGAACATCAGATCTTTCTCGTTCTCCCTTTCTCTCTTTCTCTCCTGAAGAAAGCGAGAAAGAGACGGTCGATCTTAATTCGAAACGAACGGCCGCGGCGCATTCCTTCCGTCACAGTGAAACGCCGGGAGTCGACGCGATCGTCGAGACGCGCGCGACTTTAACAGACGCGAGATGGTAAAGTCGACGCGAATCAGCGGGTTACGCGATTCCGCGCGAAGTCCGTGCGTAAACCCGTCTAAATTTTGCGCTTATTGATCCGCGCGCGCGGCGTGTTAAAAATACATATCGGCGCTGAAAAAGCAGAGAGCGGAGGAAGTAGCACATTTTCGCGCGCGCTCTCTCTCTTTCTCTCTCTCTTTCTCTCTCTCTTTCTCTCTCTCTCTCTCTTTCTCTCTCCCTCCTCTTGCGTCGGAGAACAAAGCAGCTTTGACGACGAGGCGCGACGCGTTTTCGGGCTCTGACCCTCGGTGTGTGTCGATCGATTCATCGTTCCTTTTAGCAAACAGTGCGCGATATCGCGAAACCGAAGTTGGCTCGAGCTCGAGATTGCTGTTGTTCAAAAGGCACAACGTAGGGTTCTCGCGGTTCGATTAGCCGCCGAGACCTTAGAGACAAAAAAGGAATATGATATACAAAGAAAGATATCTTTTGATTCGATATATATATATATATATATATATATATATATATATATATATATATATATATATATATATATATATATA